CAATCCATCCTTCCCAGTTTATTGCAGCTTACTATTTTTCATGCAAACTGCCTTACTGGCAACAGCCAAACTGACTTACCTGCTATTAGCCACACACAGCCACCTTTGCCACAGAATCTCCAGCTTCATTCAGAGTTGAGCTCAAGTCCCATCTCTCCCCAAGGTCTATTCTCATTTCCTTAGTTACTAGTGAAATTACATAGTTACTTCAAGAAATTAGATTGCATATATTGTGTGTACAATTCACTATATACATGTCTCATCCTCCCCATATATTCCTCCCAACAGAGTGCAAGTGCCTTAAGGATAGGGTCCATCACATGAAATGAGTGCTTCTTCAATTGAACTATTGAATTATACACTGTATATACTGCTATTCAAAAATACTTGAAGAATTGAGCTTGATATAAATTGCTCTGTTCACTAGAGTTCTTGTCTCCTCTTATTAGGGAAATGTAAAATGTATGCTAAAATGCATTGTGTTAATTCATGTAATTTGAAGAAGTTTTTCCTGCAAAGTTTTGTTTTAAAACTTCGTTGGATTAGTGATTTTTGTGTATACTTTATCATTACAGATTATAGTTTTTCAAAGCCTCCTTATCTCATGTGATTATTAACCAAATTCACTCATAGATCTTCCTTTGAGAATCTGCCTAATGTGTTTGAGGCCTTCTTCTTTGTCTCTTTACATTTCATGACTGCTAGTGCATCACTTGAACTATCTGTCCGTCATTCTTGGGACGTGACCAATTCTTTCCCAATCATGTTTCCTTTATGATGTTCCTTATACAGTTTCTTATATGTATTTGAAAAATTTGCAGCTGATTTGCACCCACTATAGGTCTCTATCTTGTTCTTTGGGTTACCTGCAAATCTGATGCTTTGGAGTTTGTGGTATCTCAAGATTTACAATCAATACAACATTGCCTAGAGAAAATGTATGTTAAAAATGAGTTTTTATATTGGGGAGCAGCTGGAGATGTTAAAAGCACAGTACAATTTTTCAAATGCAATCCAGCCTGCTCCTTTCGTGATACTTAATTATGGATCTATGTATGGATCTATAATGTGTATGACATAATATAGGTATGAAGAGCTGTGCCCATTTGTAATTGGGCAGGAGGCATCTGCCCAATTGTGAACTACTCCCTTTATCTTCATTTAAGTGCTTTGAAGAGAAAATATTATTTGCTTATTTTATGTGAGCTTTGAGAGATCTCCAGTATTTTATAAAAGTTGAATGTTTCGGTATTTGGATTTTGTCTTCTCTTTACTGAGAAATCTCAATGGAAAAAAGTAGGAGGCAGAATAGTTGTTTTAGTGAAATTTGGAGTACAGTATTGTTAAGTGAAGTTAGAATTTTTTTCTTTTTATATATCTTATTCTTAAGAATTTCAGGGTAAGGAAAGATAGTGTACTCCAAATTTTAAAAATACTCTATAAGAACTTCCTGTAGTGGCCTAGTCAGGTAAACTGTAGCTTTGAAAGCCCAAAATTTTCATTCTCAATTCTGTATTGGGGAATGGTTACAATCCCTTTCATATGTCTAATAAAAATTAATATCAACTTGAAATTTTATTGGTTTAAGCACCAGCATAGCATTTTCAGTATCAGAAATAAGAGTAGAATGAAGCAGTGTAGGTGTTTGAACTTTTTACCTTGAGGAGGTAAAAGGAATATGATCCAGTTGGACTTAGGTACATAGGTATGAAAGATCAGAAAAGGATGTTAAATATGTTAAAAATTTATGTCTTTTACTTATGTTATATTATATATTTATGATATTCTTAAGTGAAGACCCAGTTTATAAGTTTGGGTGCTTCCCCAGGCAGTTAAAGAAAAAGAAAACTTAATGAAGCGAGTTTCTTCCAATTTTCCTCTCCCATTGACTTCGTAATAAAGAAATGAAAAATATTAAATGAATTTTTAAAAGTTTATCAAGGAAATTTTTTCCTTTCATTTTCAAGCAGTTCCTCCTCTACACATGCTTGAGCAGATCCAGTCTGTTACTAAAAATATGTGGTTGTATGTACATGCATGGGTTGTTATTTTAAATGTTAAGTTGTTTAATAATGTTATGTTGATATAACTGAATTATTACAAAATTAACTTAAAGCTTCTTCCTATAGCAGTTGAAGTAAGGGCTCCTTGAGTTTGAAGAATTTATAAATAAGAGAACTTGATCAGTTTCTCCTACCCATTTCAGTTGCTTCATTTGTCTGCAAAAGACTCTCCAAATGAGTAATTATGTAGTAATTCAACATCTACAATAGAGAGAGGAAAAGTAAACCAACATACGAGGCTTATGTATCCAGATAGATTAATTAAAAGATATTTTGTACAGCCAAATGAGTCCTCCAGAATGGGATACTTCTTTTTTGTTTAGGAAAGGTTCCATTTTTGTTACGTGTTAAGAGATGATTCCTCCTTTTTTGGAAGTTCCAGAATGATGATTGATGGGTAAGCAAGGTGTTATCTACCTCTGATTCCAAATCTGCTGTAGCATCTTTGAGTTCAGGAATTGGTTGGGGGAAGAGGGAATGAGAGTGGGAAACTAGATATTATCTGACTTGCTACAGACTAGCAAACAAAGGGAGCATAGAAGGGGATTATCTTTGATCCCAGGTGCTATGGGGCTTTTTGGGCCCAGATAGACACTTACCTTTGAAGTTATTGTTATACAAAGAGAACACCTTCTTGTCTGATTTTAGGGGTGAAAAAAAATCAGGGACAATTAACAAGTGAGAAACCAAAGGACTTAAAAGTGACTTATGATTTTTTCCTCTCAGAATTCTACTTGCTAAATTCTATCTTAGATTCTTTATGGAGATGAGAAATAAAACTCCACGATACAGAGATGCTAATAAGAGAGAAAAACCTTACTTATTAATATAGATATGTATATGCATGTATATATTATACACCAAACACTGTCACTTAATTTGCACTCCTTGTGAAAAAGACTAGCATTTGCAGTTACAAAATGCTGAGGAGCAAAGTCATATCCTCATACACATAATAAAAAAGGGGTACAGAACTACAGAGACCTATGTTAGGGAAGATATTGAACAAGTTAAAATTTTGTTGGCTGGCCTATAAATATTGTTTTCTTTTGAAATAAACACTACATTGATTTTTAAAATGAGTCTTTAAAAAAGAAACAAAAAAAATCCAAATTGGAGACTTCAGTGCTTTAAATAATTATTTAGATTTCTTTAACATCTATAGTAGGAAGAAAAGGTTCTTATTCCGTATGGTATATATTCCATTGAGACTTGGTCCTTGACTGAGTGCTTTTCAATTGAATTCCTTCTCATGTTGTATTTATTACATGATCTTTATAGTGGTTTGCTGCATGTGATTGAAAAATACAGATGGAAAATTTTTCAGGTTTTTTGGTGATTGCTGAATTAAAAGCATCTTTTAATGCCAGTTTTTCTTTTAGTGTATGACATTATGACATCATTGAGATTGTGTCTTCAGTAGCTTAGAACAGATAGTTTTGTGGTTGTGAATTTTAAACCCTGTACAGCACAAAATTACCAAACTTAATTTAAAGCTGTACTGTGTTCTAAGTATTCTGTCTTTAGCAATGCTGTTTCTCATTTATCTTTTCAAATCATTAGTACTGCACATTGTAAATGTTCCTGAAAGCTTTGTTTAGCATTGATTATGTGGTTCTTGTCTCACATTACTTGTGGGGATGAGAATAACTTTTAATCATTTGGTGTTTATTGCCTTGGATTGAGAATTGTAGTGCAAAAGTGTGTGTGCCCGTGTGTGTGTATGTGTGTGTGTGTGTGTGTGTGTATTTATTTATTATGTCCTTTAATGTGACAGTTTTCTTCAAGTCTGAATCAAGTGTAGCATACAATTAAATTTTCCTCATGTTCCTAGCTCAGGAATCAGCAAGAATACATTGCTTAATTATGTTCCTACTAAATGTCAAATATATTAGTATTAGGAACCTAAGGAATACTCATGTGTTTGGTACATAAACATCTCCTAAAATGTTGAGACATAAAGGCTGTTGGATAAGGGGGAAAGCACTGGATTTGTTGTGAATGAAGGAATGAAACATTTATTAAGCACTTGCTGTGTACAAAGCACTGTAGTAAAAGACCCCAAGTCTAGGGTCTACTGCTTCCTATTATGTAACCAGTAACTTCTCCGAGCTTTAGTTTCCTCTTCTATAAATTGAGGAAAATCTCTATGCTACCTACCTCAAAGAGTTATTGTGAGAATCAAATGAGATAATGGATATAAGGTTTTGTAAATCATGAAGCAGTATGAGGCATTCTGTAACTGTCAGCTAATGTTATAAGCCAAATTCCTTCCTTCTGTCCTGGTGACTTGCCCCTGAAGTCAGTTAGCATTTTGTCTTCCCACAGCTGAGCAGAATGAACCTTTAAAAAAAATAACTTTGTAGGGATGTCGAATCATTAACTTTAAGATTGTGTAACCTCACTTTTTCTAAGAAACAAAAATGCTACATTGCCAAAGGTCATTTGCTTTGACTGGCACTTAAAAAGATGTTATTCAGGATGCCTAGGAGATTATCCCTATTTTAGATGGACAAACTCTTATCTGCCCTGATCAGGAAGGTCATATACAAGTCTCAGAAAAATGACATCCTTTGGTGCTCAAACATTTGCACAGTCCAGACTTGGGGAAAGAATATGGAGATTCTCAGTGCCTTTTGTATTTCCCCGAGGGAAAAATCTTCTCTTATAGATTCAATCATTATTCTGTTTGACTTAATTCTGATTCGATTTTCCTGCCCTTAATAGATCTAAAACCATTTAGGTTCATTTATTTTTATATATTAAGGAGATAATTCACTGAAGAGAAAAAAACCAATAATGGTAAATCAAAACCGTTTAGGGTTGAAGTGATCATCATTGACAAATGTTGATGAGTATCCATTGAGTCCTGATACTTAACCGAGTGCTGTGCCCTTTTTATGGATGAGAAGTAATTCATTCTCTCTCCTGTTCCAGGGGATCAGACTCTAAGAGTTTGGGATGTGAAGACGTCAGGAGTCAAAATTGTGATTCCAGCTCATCAAGCAGAAATCTTAAGCTGTGATTGGTGCAAATACAATGAGGTATAATATACTAAACAGTGTGAACTTTTCCTAATAGATCAATCTTTATTTTTTAAAAATAATTTTCATCATCATCTTTTACACTTTTACTGCCTTCATTTAAAAATCTTTCTGTCCCATTCATCTACTGAAAATGTCATCCCCTTTTTCAAAGAATAAAAAAAAAGTGAATTTTCAAAAAGCCAGTTCAGCAAAATTAATACATCAACTGAATCTGACAGTATATGCAACATTCTGCATCCATAGTCTCCCCACCTCTGCAAAGAAGAGAGGAAAGTACATTTTATCATCTCTTTGAGGCCAGCTTGGTTGTTATAGTTGTACAGTATTCTGAGTTTTGGTGGTGATAGTGGTGGTGCGGTAGATGTTATTTCCATTTACATTGTTGTGTACCTTGTGTATATTTATTTCCAGTTTTTACTACTACAAGAATGCTACTGTAAATATTTTGGGCCAATTAATTCATAGCTCTTCTAGTAGGGTATTTTTGTGTTTGACTTTCTACAGCCCTAGAACGACTTTTCTTAACCAGTGAAAAGTTATTTGCATTCTAGATCAATTTTATTTCATTTCTGTTATGGAGACCCATGGATGTTTAGGTTAAATTTAATCACTCTGGTTTCTAATTGATGTTCGTGTGTGACCGGAATTAGCATTAGTAGGATTTAAGTGCACACAGCTACAGACAGAAAGAGAAACAGATAAATGCTCAAAAGTTTAACAGTATAGGATTATTTTGGTTGAATGACTTTATGATTTCTGTAGCATCCTTTCCCTCTCTGGTCTGGAAATAACTTCTCTTGGACCTTGGTTAGTACTTTGCATTTCTATTATACAATTAATAGTAATATTATTGTGTTATAATTATTTGTGAAACTGTCATGACTTCATACTAGATTGTAACCCCATTAGGATCTAGATCTTGTCATATCTTTCCCTATCCTGCTTACCCTGTGCCTAGCATAGTGCTATGCACAAAGTAGGTATTTAATACATGTCTGCTTAATTGAATTAAATTTGTTGCATTTTCTCCCTTCCTTCTAGGTCTCCAAATTTATATTACTTACTGCTTTGTTTCTTTTCTTGGATTAAATTTTGATTCTTTTCTACTTTGCTATTCAAACTATTGTTTCACTTGTAATTTGTTTGTCTTAGGTACTTACTTTTAATTTTATAACCCATTTGTTTTAAAATTTTCTCTTTGTCTTGTTTCATTACTGTAACCAAGTTCCACTCTTTTTAAAGAAAGTACTATACTTTTTATATAACGATATCAAAACAATTTATAGTCATATAAGAAGTATCATTTTTTATATTTTTATTATTATTGCACTTGATTAGAAAAATGCAAATCTCAACCTTGAGATATCATTTACACCTATCAGATTGGCTAAAATGATTGAAGGGAAAGCAACAAATATTGGAGGGAATGTGGAAAAATTGGGACACATTCATTGTGGGTGGAATTGTGAATTGATCCAACCATTTTGAGGAGCAATCTGGAATCATGCCCAAAGAATTATTATATTGCCTATACCCTTTGACCCAGAAATACCACTACTAGGTCTATTTCCAAAGATGATTAGGGAAAAAGGAAAAGAATCTATAGAACCTATATGTTATAAAATATTTATAGCAGCTCTCTTTGTAGTGGCAAAAAACTGGAAATTGAGGGAATGCCGATCAATTGGGGAATGGCAAGTTGTGTTATGTGATTGTGATGGAATACTACTGTGCTATCAGAAGTAATGAGCTTGATGATCTTAGAAAAACATGGATAGACTTGAATGAAATAATGAAGAGCAAAATGAGCACAGTAGTCTTTTTTTTTTTAAGAATAACTTTGAGCAAATAAGTCATTTTTACTATTATAACTATCCAAATTAACTACAAAGGACATATGAAGGAAGACGCTGTCTGTATCCAGAGAAAGAGCTGATAAATAGAAGTGTGTATAGAATGATTTTACATATCTATGTCTATATCTATACACACACACACATTTCTGTCTAATGGTAGCCATCTCTAATGGGAAGAGGGGAGGGAAGAAAAAAAGGGGGAAAAAAAGAAATTTACGTGATAACTTTATTATATATTTAAAAGGAACAGCAAGTTGTACATAATAGATTTGCAGTTTCATGTGCAATCATCTTTTTTATTGTACTGTTATGGAAATGCTTGTTTTAATCCTTAAATTAAAAATAAAAAAAGAAAGCACTTCACACACGTACACACACACACGCACACGTGTAATTCATACAAAACTTCAGGTAATTTCACGAATCAAAGCTGAGGATGCTAAATTGCAACTTTTTTGTGAAATTGTGATGGGGAAAATGTGTGTGTGTGTATTTATACGATTTGCACATAGTCTATTGAACTTTGCCAAACATGGAAATGATATATTTCTCCCACCCACTTTTAGATTCATTCTTGTTAATTAAAGGAATAAGAACATTGTTTTCTCATAATCTTATGAATGATTAAGGGGAAAAAAATGGATCAAAAAATGAAGTTTTGTTGGATAACAAAACTTTATCTCAATAAAGATATTGACTTTGCAGACTACATTGAAAACATCTTACACTGTAAATTAATTTTCATAATACTAAAATCAAATTGGGAAAAAAACTGTTGCTCTTCTGGGTTCTGTAGTAGATAGATGCTGGTGTTAGATTATTGATGAACTAAGTGGATGAGCCTTATATTTCCATTCCTCATGCCAAAACTCTCCAATTTACTAGATACTTGATTGTCAGCAATAGGAACAGGAGACCTTTAATGCCTTTCATGTTAAAATTAAGTTAATTTTAATTGTGGTTTTTTTTTCCCTAATTTTTTTAGAATTTGCTGGTAACAGGTGCAGTTGACTGTAGTTTAAGAGGCTGGGACTTAAGAAATATACGTCAACCAGTATTTGAACTTCTTGGTCATACCTATGCTATTAGGAGGGTGAAAGTAAGTCAGTGTGTCTCTTAAATCCCTTTCCTTAACACTTATTTTAAAATTAAAATACTTTGTAAATGCCTGGCTACGTATTTATGTTCAAGTGTTGGCTGCCTTTAATTCTTATTATACAAAAATTATGTTATTGACCTCGAGGGCTATACGGTTAGTTGGAAAGGCTATTTACAGAGTTATCAAATAAAAGAGAGTTAAAATACATTCAGAATACTCTGTCTAAGAAGGGAAATGAATGTGTGATACAAATTAGGGAGGTAAAATAATGAAAAAAAATAAAGTTCTGATGCTTGAAGGGGTAAAGTGTGTTGTCTGAACAAAATCAAGTCATTCCCTAAGGCTCCAGATAGTCTAGATTTTAATATTGTTACTGTGTATCATTTTATGCAAAGTGCTGAGGCTTTATAGAGATGGTGTACACAGGCTGTCTGTGACTGAAATTTATAGGAGTTTCTTTCAGTGCCCCTAAGAAATTTGTCTGTGCTCTGGATTACTCTTTCCTGCTATTGGTAGAACTTTGGAAAAAATCTGCCATATGATTGTATGAATTATATTCAGTTTCTGTACTTTGACCTATTTGGTTATAAGGGTAAAAGTATCCTGGTCATATATCCAGTTAGATAATTATGCTTTACATATTTGAAGGCCCTAACATACTTTCAAATGTGTTGTTTAATGTTTTGAGATTTTCCAGGCTAGAGTAATACAGAGTACTACTATACATGGAATGGCACCTGATTTTTTCTTATAATGTTTTAAACATCTGTCATGTCCTATACTTATCACTTGTACTTGAGAGAAATCTCATGTAGAAGTATTTAAAGTGCTGGCTAGAAATGTTCTTTTACATGAAGAGATGTACCAGCAATTAGCTTTTCAGAGGCTACCATCAATCTGTTGAGTTAATTTAGTTATATTTTTAAAAATGTTATTTGGAGGCAGATGTTTTAGATAGAGAACCCATCTTGAAGTGAGGAAGATCCTGCCTCTGACACAGACTGGCTTTGTGACCCTGGGCAAGTCACTGAACCTCTCAGTGCTGTGGCAGCTGTCTAAAACTATAGGTTGCCAACAACCACAAGTGCCAACCTGCATTGATAGAGGGAGTTTTCTCACCTGAGAGATTCCTGGACTAATAAGATTACAAATCTTCCCTATCCCTGTCCTTTTTTGTAACTCATTAATTGCCTTTAACTTTGCAACTTTCACCATTGAGATAAAATGAATATTTTTTCATTATCCATGATGCAAAGATTAAGAAATTACTTTAATGAAATGTTTAATCTTGAAGTATTTGTTATGATACTTATGGCTATAGTATATCTAATGCATTACGGTCATTGAAAATTTACATAGCACTAGTTATATCATGTATTTCAAAGTCATTTATGGTTTTAAATGGACTTTTTTCTATTGAGATTCAGTAAGAGATTAGGGTGAATGTGTACAAATAGTAATTTTTGTTTTAGAATAACAGATATTTAGGAGCATCTTTCCCTAGCAAAATAGTAAACAGCAGACCACATGACTTTTTTATGAAAACATTATGCAAGAAAATTTGACTAGAGGTAGAGAATTTATAGACCAGAATTGTTCTTCCTCTCAAAGTAAATTTTTAAGGTTAAATTAAAGACTAAAGAAAGTAGAATTTGAATTGCCAAAGCAGAAAAACCTTTAGTTAACAATAGTGCTTATGGACATTACTAAAAATGAAATGCTATTATGCAGTTAATCTCAGATTCAGACAGTTATTTCAGTAAGAATTCTCTTTGTTACAGGAAAACAAAAGTATTTTATGAGACTCCCTTAATTGTTAAGTTGTTGTTATTTTTATATATTTAACAAGTGTTTATTCAAGGTTTTATTGTTAGAAAAAATTTTCTTTTCTTTCTCTTGCAGTTTTCACCATTTCACGCTTCTTTGTTGGCCTCTTGCTCCTATGATTTTACAGTGAGGTACAGCAGCTTTTATTATATTGTGCTGTTAAATATCAAATAGTAGTTCTGTTTTTAAATGGTGTTTTTTTGTGAAAAATTATGTTTATATTCCTAAGAGGAAAATAATTTAACCTACATATATCTAGTGTTTGCTCTTTTTTTATAATTTTCATAGTTTAGTCATAAGTAAGGGTAGATTAAAAAGATCCTAAAGGTATTGTCCCAGATAAGAGAATATATTGGGATGATCTGAAGCTTAGGGGAAATAAAGACTTTCCTCTGTAATCAAGGAACCTAAACTTTAGTCAAGTTATCTTTTGAGATTTCTTGAATATGCCAAGTGCCATTTAATATGCCATTAGAGAGACAGATTTTCTTGAAATCTTGAAACCATGGGGGTGGGAATTTTTTTTACTTAAAGAATAACTCGGAATTTGGGGGAGAGGGAATAGAAACCTATCATTATGTTTTAATCCATTTTTACAGAACTAAAGTTATATTTTTAGGATCATGAAAGTGTATTATATATAACTTTTCAGATAGAATTATTTTAGGTATTCTAGACTTAAAACTCTATAGTATAGACATAGTTACAAATCTACTCATTGGATTTGTTTTTAAGTGAAAACTAAGAAGGTTATTATTTTTTAAAATTTATATTTTGTGTGATACCAAGAATATCCAGAAAATGCTCATTTTCTTTTGGAAAAAAAATTGTTGATGTCTTTTATTTTTATATGACCTTTATTTTCAAATGGGTTCCTGCCTTTCACCTTCTCAGAGAGCCATCCTTTATAACAAAGACTTTTTTAAAAGAAAGGGGGAAAATAGTCCACCAAAACTAACTGACACATAACCAAATCTAACAGGATATTCAGTGTTCACACCCATAGTCCTTCACTTCTGCACTAAAGAGAGGGAGATGCATTTTCATATCTCTTCTCTGAGGCTAAGTTTGGTCATTACAATATGTCAGCATTCAGACTTGATTTTTTTTGTTTTTGTTACTGTTTTTTCCTTTTACACTGTTGTAATTATTGGGTATTGTTTCCCTGGTTCTACTTATTTTCTAATGTGTTATCTTTAATCCTAGAGATTACAGTAGAAATTATAATCTGATACTATGTCTTTAAATCTTTTATCCTTCTAAAGCAAAAATCCATGTTCCGTAATTTAAAATTTTTTCTAGTTTGGCAGTTCCAGAAAAAGCTGTTAAGGGAAAAATGAAACAAATATGAAAACCCTATCTTGTACTGCAAAATTGTCTCTTTTTTCCCATTGGTCCTTCTCATGTCATATGTCAGCTTTATTTTTTTTACAGTTGCTTTTATATTATATTTCATATTGTTTTTATATGTTTTATGTCATATATTATTTATAGTATAATTTAAATAATAATTGCTTCTGATTTGTTTTTTCCTAAGCTAAACAGGAATGGTTTCACACAATCTTATAGTTACCTACATAGTTCCCCTTCACCTTCTTAACCAAAATTTGGGCATTCACTTTGGTCTTAGGCAGCTGGTGGCATAGTGGAAAAGAGAGCTGAGCCTAGTGTCAGGAATGCATGAGTTCAGATCTAGCCTCATATGCTTACTAACCATGTCACTCTAGACAAGTTACTTAACCTCTGAAATAGAGACCTTAATAGTACCTGCCTCGCAGACTTGTGAGTATAACTGAGATAATGTTTATAAAACTCTTAGCACGGTGCACAGCACATAATAGTCACTTAATAAGTGCTTGTTCACTTCCCCCCTTCCCTTAGAATCCTTTCTTTCATGATCTGTCTTTTGAGCATGCAGATGTTTTGCTTTAAGACAGGTTGCTCCAGATGTCACACATCCTGCCAGGGCCAGACAAAGTGGCCACTAAAAAGACTTAATTGAAATGAAAAGTGTAAACGTATATGACTGCATCTGTATTGTTTGTCTACCTATCTGTCCCTCTGTCTGTCTGTCTATCTACCTACCTCTAGTTGTTGATGATGAAGCGTACTTCTGTACTCTTGACTATTAGCTTTATCTGGTGTTCATATCCATTTAGTCAAGGTTCGTCTTATTGCTTTTTCAGCTTTCCAGTTCACTCTGCAAAGGAAGTACATTGGTTTTTAACCAAATTAAAATCTGCTATTCATCTCTCTCTTCATACATTAGATTTCTTCATGTTATGCTTGAGTAGGATTTGAAACTGGAGAGTGGCCTTCATGGTGTTCATTTCTTCATGATCATTCTAAATAGTGATGACTGAATAGCGACATCTGACAAAACAAGAAATCATGTGTAACTTTTCAGATGGCAGGACTCAGAGCTCCTAGAAAAACACATAGCAAACACTCGATAAGTGTTTGTTAAATGGAGAGATGAGTGAATGGAGAAAGAGACTAACTTCCAGTAACAATATACTTGGAGGAATTATGGGTAAAGAATTTGGGCACATTTCAGATACATATCAGAGGCAGAGTGCATAGGATATTGTACTTGTAGTCAGTAAATATGAGTTTAAATCCTACCGCAAATACCTTGCAGTGTGGTCATGGGCAAATCACTTTTTCTCAAAGCCTTAGTTTCCTCCAAAAAGTGCTTATACTGTCTCCTCGTAGGGTGGTGGAGAAAGTGCTCTGGGAACCTTAAAGTACTACGTACATCTAAATTTTTTGTCAGAATTAAACTTTGTAGCATTTAAGTTTTGATTTAACCTGATATGAAGATTCTTGGGACATTCTAGTAATGAGTAGTATTTTCTTTGTGATGATCTAGAATACTATTCATGAGCTCTATACTGTTTTGCAAGTGATGGTTCTCACTTTGGTAGTCAGACTTACAGAACATTTTACCATTACTGATTTACCTTTTAAAAGTAGATGAATTTTGAAACTTGAAAAGAAAACTTGTCTTCATTAAATTGTAGCAGGACATAGAGATAAAGCTGGCTTTTTCTTCAGAAATGAGCTTTTAATATTGACATGTGTGCTAGCTACTAAGCTTCAGTTTCTTTTCAGAAATTAGATATAAATTGAGAAGACCAGTAGAAATGTGTTATTACAGTAGACAATCACACTCCTTTGCAAAGGGAAATAAATGGAAAATAAATACTAGTGTGATAGGTGAATTCTCATTTTTTCAAAATAATTAAAGGAGAAGTTACTAAAAGTTTTCCCTTAGGCTTCTAGCCCTTCCTTAGAACTTCTCTGGGATATGATTTTAGTAGTACTTAAAATTTCACGTGAATCCAGTGGTATAGTTCTGTGTGGTAATTACTGAAGGGAAAAGTTAAAGAGGATGACTTCTCATTAGATTTTAAAGCAATGTGATATGAATTTAGTTGAATTTAATCCGTGAAGAATGTATTACATGATTAAAGTGATGTTTATTAATACTACTAAAGAGAAAAGCAAGGAAAATATTTAAGATCAAAGACCTCAAATAACTGTTTTTTTTTTCTAAATGCTAAAGATAATGTAGATGTCAGTGCCAGATTCTAACTTCTGTTAGGTTCTACATAATATATCCCCTTCAAATATAAGTATTTTATAGCCTATTTTAATGGATTTGTTAAACTTAGTTTCAGAACATTGCAGTTAAATGCTTTAACATTAACACGAAAGTGTTAAAAATGATTATCTGAAATAAAAAGGAAACTGAAGACAAAGTTACCGAGCCATCTATGATTTAATTTGCAAAGCTAGCATTTGTATATTAAACCAGGTCACTTGACTTCTCAAAGGTCAGAGACAAGGAGTGATTTACAGAGATGATTTTTATAATAAAAAAAAAAGAGGAATTGGAAAAATTATAGAACCTTTTTTTGAGCATAATTCAATTAGACAAGGCAGGTGACCTAATTAGTTAACTTCTCCCAGACTGTTTTAATCCTCTGCCAGACATCATTTCTTCCAGGTGGTACCTTTTGTAACCAGAAAGTATACTGGGAAAGAACTTGTGGTCAGTGGTTAGCAGTCACACCCCCCCCCCCCAACTTCCTTAGCAAAGTCCATAACCCAACTTGGACTCTAGCTAAAGAAAAAGAAAAGAGGGCTTAACTTCTGGCTAACCTTTCTCCGGCTGCCAGAAAGGGGAACTTGGCCTGTGGTCAAACCCCTTTCTGCTAGAAAGGTAAATTTAGCTTTTTGAAAAACCTTATAATCTTGTGATTATTTTATTCTTTCAAATTATCTGCTATTAAATAATAAAGTCTTCTCAATATATCTATTCACTAAATCGATAGATAATGCAGACTTAAGAAACCATCTAAAAAACAAAAAGAAACTATCCATGTTAGTCTGGAGGGCTATCTCTTCCAAAAGAAAGCAGCCTAATCCTATGATCAAAGTAAAAGTAAATTAAAGTAATCAAAAAGAGCTGATTTCTTTTTCAAAAGATATCAAGGATTTCTTTATTACTGTCATGTGAAATTCTCACATTTTTCTTTTAAAGATTTACCTTTATGCATCCAATAGAAAATATGCTTTAAATTTATATACTTATAGAGTATGTTATTGAATACTTATAGAGTATTCGAAACCGAAATAATAGTGAAGTATAAGACTATAATTTTAATTATTGAGTATGTTAGAGGCAAATAAGAATCCTAAATTTTACGGAAAATGTTGAAATCTTTCCCTAATTAATGAGTTGTAAACTCTTTTGCTGTATTCATTTGAAGATGTCATGCCTTATATTGTTATACAAAGACATGTATAATTTCTGTTGTTGCTGTAATTACTGTTTTCGTTTTCTTTTTCTTTTTATATGCTATCCATTTTCACTCCTCTGTGCTGCCATGCCAGATCTGCTTTGCAAACCATATTTAGTGAATGGTGAGAGAGACCATATATACATTATTTGAATTTTGAGAAGTCTTGTTTTATTGAACATGTCTCCATATTACCTAAGAAGCAAAGAAGTAAGCAAGCCAATTATTTCTAATAAAGTTGAATTGTAAAATAAGATGGCGGGGGGGTGTGGAGCCAAGATGGTGGAGTGAAAGCAGTGACTTGCTTGAGCTGTCCCCCAAAC